TTTCAGATTAGTATCGGTTCAAGCACTTTGTGAACCGAACTAAATCAAAATCGACCGCTTCAACATATATTGTATTTATAATATAGTTAATCTAATAATACAATGATATTAATTAATAAATATAATAAATTATTAACCTTAATAATTAACCTTGTGGGTGTTGATTTCTGACCACACAATCAAACAGGGAACTCAGCTGGAGAGCACCGGCAGAATAGATTAAGCCTGAGCAACTTGTCACAAAAAGATAAGAATTCGGCGGTGCTTCGTCTACTCGGGGGCACTCCGATACTCAAGTCAGTAATCAAATATGTCTCAAAAGATAACAAATTGTGCTTAACTCACAAGAAAGAACTTACTGCTTACCGTATATCACACACTTGAGACCCACGGGGGTGTCCTGTTTCTATAGCCAGCATTGACCTGATCCCTGTAGAAGCCTCACTTTAGTGGACTCAAGCTCAATGTTCATCTTGGACTCTCAGTCAGATAGGGATAAACTTCTTAAGAGCTTTATCTTTATTCAGATTGAAACTACTAATAAGTCCTAATAGTTGGACTTAATTCTCATCAAGTCCTATTGAAAATAAGTCATAATAAAATCGTTGCTAAAAATAATTTTTTGTAACAATTTTTTGCTTATGTCGCTAAAAATTAATAATTAGTGACTTTTTTTTGTCATGAGCTTTATAAATTGTTGCTAAAACTTACAATTAGTGACGTTTTTCTATGACGATTTTTTCAAACTGTCACTAAAATTCAAAAATTAATAACGTTTTTTTTGTGACGATTTTTTTTTAAACTGTCACTAAAATTTATAATTAGTGACAGTTTTATAACAAAATTTTTAAACTGTGATGGTTCTATAAGATTTGTGAAGGGCTACAAGTTTTTAGAGCACTCATGAAAGATCAGGTTGTTCAGGGCCAAAATGAACACAATAGTGAGAACTAAACTGTGTCTGGAGATATACTGTGTGAGTTCTATTGTCTTGGTTTACACAAACGGCTGAACAGTTCAAGACATCATGTTCACTGGTTAGCTAGTAAATCCGATAGTATCTCACAAGAGAAGGTTCAAAGCCAAAGGCTACCTATCCTTTGCAGAATATTTTCAATTTCTGTACTCTCTGTATTTACATCATGTTGTTGCATTTTCACTCTGTCAATTTCAGTCATGTGGGGGATTGTTGAAAAATTTATAAAGAGGTAGTTGTGAATTGAAATAGACTGCATTTTGAATGAAAGGGTGTAACCTTTCATGGTGTCTTTTTGTTTTAAAGGAAGGGTCAAACCTCCATTTGAATGAAAGGGTGCAAACCTTTCATGGTGTCTCTTTATTTTAAAGGAATAGGTATGTCCCTTCTTCATACCTTTTCTATTCAAATTGAATAGGTGCCAACAAAGCCTATATAAAGGCAGCCCCATTCCAATTTTGATTGATTCGAAAAATTCAGTCTGAAATTCTTGTCTCTTTGCTATCCATTTTCTTTTAGTGCATTATTCTTCATATAAAATATTAGGAATAAATTTCAGAGAGTTATAGAACACAAGGTTCTAGTTCGCCGGATAAATTTGTTTGAAGTGCTTCTACAAATTTGTGAAGATCACTGTATCCTGGGAGATAGACGCCACTCAACTGTAAGCACCGTAGCAGGGCGAATCTGTCTTAAGGACAGAGTATCACACACTCAACTTGGTTTTAATTTTAATTCGATTCGATAAATAAATCTGGTATGTTATTTATTTATTTTGTTTGATTTTATTTCAAGTTATTTTATTTACACAGAAGATTGATCCAACAATAATTACCTTCACTTCATATTAATGGCCTAATGTAACCAATCTATAATTGGGTTTGCAGCTTTGTGAAGACTTGGTGTAAATCAACATAATTGGGCTTGAGAAAATGCCAAGTGTAGTAGGTGCAAATGATTTACTCAATGTATGTGTGTTGTGAATACCTCATTTTTAAATTGAGGCTCCTTAGCAAAAATAAGAGTAGATAATATATTTTTCTTATAGGAATTTTATCGAATAGGTTGCATGCATCCATCAGTTAGCTAATTTACTTTAGATAATTTACTTTGGACAGTGGGCCTACAAAAATAGAGAGGAATTGTGGAAAGAAAAGAACCAATGTAATAAATTTAGCCTCGTAGTAACATAAACTCAAACAACCAACAGGGAAAAAAAAAAAAAAAAAGAGACAATGAAAAATACGTCTGCTTTGGTATTGAACGATAGGTCTTGAAGCCATTATCAGAACCTTGAAGCCACTGTTGGGATTTGAATTGCAGCAAGGGAAATTAAAAAAACAGACACAGCCATTAGCCAAAAACACTATCATATTCAAATTCAAAAGAACAACAACAAATAGAAATAGCTATGGTGGTATGGATGGATACATCAAACCAAAAGCCAGAGAATTAGCAGGACAAAAACCCCAACATGGAGAGGAAATCAATATGCATATCCTTCTTATTCATCATGCATACATATTTAAGTAAGTATTTGGGAAAGCTACCATATGAAAAAGCTATTTCTTTTTTTTCTTTTTTCTTTTTTAAAGTTTAATTAGGGGAACCAGTAACACAAACCCATTGACCCACAAAGAGAGTTTTGCAGTTGACATTGGGATTGATGGAAAGGAAGAAATCAATAGTGAATTAGGAAGCCTTAGCAATGGAAATGCATGTATCTCCGCTCTTCACTCCTACTACTATTTCACAGCTTGCTGTAAACTCTGCCTTTTTTACCACAATTGTATGGAGCCAAATCTAATCTCTCTATGGAAAGATTAAATATTTAGAGGGAAAGATTAAGCTCCTTTGTAGTGATTTCCCTCCAGCATCCATCAATGTTCACTATGATCTCTCTATGGATCAGAGTAATACATTTTTATCTAAAACAACCACCTGCCTAAGAGCCCGAATTCAAAAATCAGCCCATATCCTGAAAACCCTAGATTGCTTACTAAGATGGATCAAAGACACCTTAAATGGATAAACACCAACAAACCACTATTCAACAAAGCATACTCTATCGATTTGATAAAACATTTCTATCAACATAAAATTTGACCAAAAATAAAAAATAAAAAAAATAGAAATTAGAATGAGACAAAGAAATCGAAAGGAAGAGAGACAGAGAGAGAGGCGAAATAGAGGACATACCTGAGAGACAAACCGATGATGCTCCAACAACCGCGGGTACCCTTGCGGTGATGGCGATGAAAACAAAGCTACAGAGAAGAGGGTTAAGGCGTGAGTGAGAGAGAGAGAGAGAGAGAGAGAGGGTAATCGACTTGTATTGTAGAGGCAGATCAGCAAACAAAAAAAAAATTATACAAAAAAATTAAAACTAATTTGAGAAGTATAAAAATCAAAAATATATTTTCAAAATTTTAAAAATTATTTATGACCTCCTAAAAGATAAAATTATACAAAAATATTTTTTTTTTATTTTTTCACCAATTTTTTATTTTATTTTTTTTAGTTTTTTAGAAAAAAAAAAATTTGAAACAAGTTTCTAAAAATAAAACCAAACATATTAAAATTGATAATTCAACCACATTCTTTAAAAAAGTTTAGATTATCTTAAATTAGCCAACTCAACTTTAGAGTGTGTTTGGGTTTGATGGGTTCATTTTGTGATCTAATTCGATGATCACTTTAATATTACAATTCGATAACTAGAATATTTAAAACTCTTTGAAAAGTTATAATAAAAACACAAATTACTAAATCACCTCATTTTAGCAAAACTTTTATCGACGAATACTGTTATCATCGCTAAATGTTTAACTCTTTGCCAATGCAATGATATCATATAACACTAAAGCAAGATTAGGAAGCAAGCTTGTTCTAATCTTCATAAAAACGTTAACTCACCATATTTTGTACAGCTAACAAAATTTAAACCTCTAGTTGTCTCTTTCTTTTCTTCTGACTCGAGGGCTCATAAAAGATACAATGAATTACTCTTGGAGGCACTGTTATACATAGCTCATTTTCCAGGAACTTTGTTTTTCAGTATTCACTGTAATGCTCGCACTCTGTAAAGCCCACCACGCTGTTTGTCATTGATGTTTTCTTAAACTCAAGCTACCTACCAATGTATGGTCCTCTTAGATTGCCAAACTAAAATTTTCTGTTAATGGCCCAAGCACTACCACCATTCTATTAGCATTTAGTATTTTTTCAGTAAATTCTTAAATAATATCAATGTAATTATTTCAAACTTGCCCGCACTGAAACTCAAGGATTGCATATTCTTCATTTAATCAGTGTCTAGCATCCAGAACACTCCATCCTTCTTTTCCACCCTTCATTGTTTCTGTTTACATTTCATTATATCGTATTGACCCACCATCACCTGTTTAAACTAGTGCATCCATCTACTCCCAACACTGCGTTTGAATGTAGGTGTAATGTCAAGAAATACCTCCTCAGTGAAGATACGATCAACCACCACTAACATGTACCAATTTGATTTTTATCACAAATTGGGATAGGGTCAATAATTTTCAAAGGTGTACTAAATTAAGTGGCTATTTTGTTCTCTACCTCCATTGCTCAACAAAAAGTGCAATAAGGTAAAATCAAAACCAGCATCACAAAGATCAACACAATATTGTTAAAAGAATCTACACGAGTAGAAAAAATTATGATTCACGTGTTTGATTCATAAAAAGTTCAACTGTTCAACTACATTCACTGTCCCTCAAACAGCTATTGAAATAAGAACTGACAAAAACAAAACAAAACAAAAAAAGAAAAGAAAAGAGATGGACTAGGCATGGCAATGCGTTAATCAAGAAACTCAAAGCCATTTATAAGAAGTTTGGTCACATGAAAACTTTGAATGTTCAAAGCCATTTATAAGAACTTTTGTCACATGAAAGCTTTGATATCTATTAGGATGTAACGAATGCAATTTGATGACTCTAATAAGAAAATTACTGCAGCATATCTATTTAAGAATTTGAACAATAGCTACCTGTGATATGAGAACACGAGATATCCGCAGCCCATCTTCTGACATTGCATTTTCAAATTGCTTGCCATCAAAACGCCCCAATAAAAGGGATAGACAATTTAGGAAAAACTTTATAGTCTCTACTCCACTTTCTTTATTCTCAGTATGCTCTTCAGTGTAATTGTCAGCATAAAACTGCATATAAGGCTTATCAGCAACTGAACTTCATCAACCAAAATCATAATAGTACACATGTGATAACCTATGAAGCACTGGTGCTGGTACAGATACCAGTACGGGTACAATACGGATACGCCGGTACGCTAAAATCTAAAAAAAAATAAGGTACGGATACAACTAAGGTACGTCAAATATTTATTTATTTATTTTTATTTTTTAAAAATTTATAGCTAAACATCCCACCTACAAATCAAAGTTCAAAACAATAGTACCCACCGCATACCCCCAACTTCCCCAGACCGTATACGATGTACCTAGTATGTACACGACGTACCCGATACGCGCGTAGCCATACCAATACGCATACCCGCACCTAGTAAGTACCTAGTACTTGTACAACAATATTTTTAGAATACCAGTGGTTCATAGGTGGTAACATTATATTATAAAATGAAATCTGATTGCCTAATCTAGGACATCAAGTAAGTGACACTAGATCTTCAGATCATAATTAATCATATCAACTACATTGTCTATCACCAATTCAGGATCGTGGTTCAGTGCCAATGCCTCGCTTTTCCCCTTTCTTTGTTGATATCAATTCCAAGTAGAAAAATTGGAATCAATATTATGTAACAAAAACAAGACACATAACACAAGAGCTTTTATTTCCACACATCACTTTTCTCAGTTCACACACCATTTTTAGTTCAAATATCAAACAAAGCTATATGGTTCGGAAATCAACTTCTAAATGAAAATATATGGTTCGGAAATCAACTTCCAAACTAAAGTTGTAGCCGAACCATCAGTTTGGAAGTTAATTTCCAAATCATGTAATTTTGGTTGGAAGTTGATATCCAAATAATTACTTACATAAAAATTAAAAAAATTAAAAAAGAAGAAAAAAAAAAGTGTGAATTGAGAGAAAGTGGTGTATAGAAAAGCTCCTGATAATACTATATACCATGGTTGAATGGTAAAATTTCTCTTTGCCAAGGAGTGCCGGTCCCCATTAAATCACTACCTAGTGTTGATCCTCGATTCCTTGCTAAAAGAGGTGCACAAACAATGGCCTTGTTTGGCAAAGGCTACAATTGGTGGGTTTAGGCTAAAATTCACAAAAAAAACAAAATAGGCTAAAATAGCTAATAAGACAAAATGTCACATCAAATCCATAATCATTTCACTTTTTCTCTCACAAACATCACATTCAACTACAAAAAAATCCAACAATCTTCCCAAACACAAAGAGTATGTTTGGTTTAGCTTTGAGAGATGAGTTTTAGAAAAAAAATTCCAAAAAATTGTTTGGTTTGAGATTTTTCTCAAAAAATTTCCAAAATCACTCTCTCTTACACATCAATCAATCACTTTTTCTCTCTCCTCTCTCCTTCTCAATCACTTTTTCTCTCACACACATCTACTCAATTACAACAAAATATCAAATCATCCCAAACTCCCAAACTCCAAAGCTACTTTCAAAATATACAACCAAACAAACCAAAAAAATTTCTAAACTCTCTCCCCAAATTTTTTTTCAAAAACAAACCAAACAAGCCCAAAAATTTAAACCTACTAAAATAGTTAAAAATTAAAATAGCCTACTAAAATATAGCCAACTTCCCAAACAAGGCCAATACCACCTTTCCATATTCAATAAGTTAGTAACATGCTTTAAGAATGCAATCAGCTGGCTGGATCCTTGTATGTTGGTAACATGCCAGCACAAATTTTTCCAAAGGTTTTAAATACTGTTGTAGAAATTGCTGAAAGAAATTACCTACATTGAAATGCATTCCAGTCTGCATAGAATGCCAGAACTTATACAAGATAGTGAAATTCCATTAAGTGGCTGAACACAGACACCAACTCATTGTCTACACTGTAAGAGTGGATGCGACATGACATAGCATGCTCTAAGCACTACATAAATGTCTAACACCTTGAATCCACAGCTAACATTTTTATGGGATCCTTACCAAGAACCACACCCACACCTAACGATTTATACCTGATTAGATGCAACAAAGATTCAATGAGTAGAAGAATATGAGCATTTGGGAACTGGAAAAATCTAGTCGAATCATTGCAGGGATGAGGAAGGGATCTGACAATTTTGTGCTGAGTCAAGAAGCATGTTGGATTCTCAGCAGGTCATGATCATAGATGTTGATTTGACATGAACTTTTTGGCCTTGGGATGTTCAACTTAAACATGTTTTCCCACATATATTTGGCACCAGCACACATAAAGCTGAATTTGTGACATATTTGTGATGAGATTGGAGTCCTGGTGGCATGACATCATTGGATTATTAGGGCTGTTCATTGGACATCGTAAAGAGAGGGGCTTTTGAGCAGGGTTAGTGTGTGCACCTGAAGCGAAGGATGGGAACAAGCAGAATCGATTTGTTCCAATTTTTGGCTCTGCACCAACCATCGAATGGACCATGGACTAAATAGTCACTCCAATGCTTCCCCCACCCCAGCACAAGGTACATCTTGTTCATATGGGCTACTATAACTATCCAAGAAGACACACGAAACTCAAAGGATAAACAAATCCACCTGGTGAATTGCCAACCTACAAGTCCTATGACACATGAGTGGAATCCTCTAAAAAGCCAAGGTCATGATAGGGCAAGAGGGCCCACTTGGAGACTTGGAATGCCAGCAAGAAATGCTAAGGTTGATAAAAGTTGGCCTACCAATAAACCCAACCAAACCAAACCTTAAGTCCTATCAAATAGGGTTGGCTACATGAATCATTCTCCACTTGACTCCATCAACAGCCATTTGGTTAGTCAAATTTAAGAGATTTATTTCTCTATTTACTACACTAGCTCACGTCAATATAGGTCAGCCCCTTGCACTAACACTTCTATGTACTGTCACAGTATTGTATCTCTTCACATCTGTTGGTCTCCGTCTACGTTACACGGACTCGTTCATTTTTGGGAGGTACCCGTGTCGACACGACACGACACGACACGGGTACGGGTACGGGATACGTACGGGATACGGCCAAATGAAAACGGCTACGGCTGATTGTTTTCTATAATATTTTTGTTACAAAATTTCTTTTTTGTTCTTCGTTTGAACAGAAAGAGAGTAAGATCAGAAGAAACAAACCAACTGTAAGAGGAGCTAATTTAAGCCCACTAAATTAATTAGGTCCAATAGTCAAAGATTGGTGGGTCCGAATTTATCGCATGTCCAAGATTGGTGGGCCCGGATTTATCGCCATCAAACGGGAGACCTTGTCGATGAGGCCAGGACAAGGGAAGAACTGGCAAGATTGCCTCAGGCACCAGCAGCCCCGTCTCCCCCAGCACAGCAACCTAAGGCAGGAGGACCTCGGGTAATTAATGTAATTCACTCGAAAGTCAACGAAAATGAGATTCGGGGGGAGACCCAGAAGGTAAAACACCTGCAGCATGTCTACAAAGTCGGGAAGAAGAGACATCGGGCAGAGGAGTGCCAAGGACCAGTAGTGTCCTTTACTAAAGCCGACCTTGAGATAGTACAACATCCGCACAACGACGCCTTGGTAGTATCCCTCCAGGTTGGGGAATGCCAAGTGAAGCGCATCTTGATTGACCAAGACAGTTCTTGTGACATCATGTATGTCAGGCGTTACAAAGAGCTTGGCCTTCACCCAAATGATATGGAGAAATCCAACGGCCCAATGGTCGGGTTCAATGGAACGCCGACATGGCCATTGGGAGCAGTGAGCTTGGAGGTGCAGGCTGGCACCAAGAAGATAAAGACAGAGTTCACCATAATCGACACACCCTCCCCTTAATATATCATCTTGGGAAGGCCGTGATTGCATGCGATGGGGGCTGTTCCCTCAACATTGCATCAACTATTGCAATTTCCAACAGAACATGGGATAGAGGAGATCAGCTGCAGGCAAAGAATTGCTCCATGGCAGCAATGAAATCCACCTGTAGCATACAAGAACCAGAGAAGGTAGAGATCGAAGGCAAGGACGTGGAGGTCCTAGAGGATGTCGGCAAGGAGCCAGCCGAGAAGAGTGAACAAACACTGAAGAAAATCCTCGTCTAGGAGGGGGATGAAGAACGCTTCTTTCTTCTCGGCTCGGGCTTAGTTGAAGAAGAGGAAAAAGAGTTGGAAGCTTTTTTTAGAGCAAATATTGAGGTGTTTGCTTGGACGCCTTACGAAATGCCTGGCATTGACCCGAAGGTCACTTGCCAGAAACTGAATGTTGATAGGTCAGCAAAACCTGTAATCCAACGAGCAAGAAGACCGACGTCGATACACGTCGAAGCAGTGGAAGAGGAAGTAGACAGACTTCTGGATGGCCAGGGCCATTCGAGAGGTAAATTACCCGACATGGCTATCAAACACAGTGGTGGTAAAGAAAAAGAATGGTAAATGGAGGGTCTGCGTGGACTTTACTAGCCTGAACAAGGCCTGTCCCAAAGATAGTTTTCCTCTACCCAAGATTGACCAACTGGTAGACGCCACTTTGGGGTATGGAAGGATGAGCTTCCTGGATGCCTACAGGGGATACCATCAGATAGCCATGTATCCCCCAGATGAGGAGAAGATTGCGTTTATCACCCCAAAAGGTCTGTACTGCTACAGAGTAATGCCTTTTGGGTTGAAAAACGTAGGAGCAACTTATCAAAGACTGGTAACCAAGATGTTCAAACACCTGATTGGCGGAACGGTGGAAGTTTACATCGATGACATGGTCGTGAAGACCAAGGAACCTAAAGGTCATTTGGCCGACCTGAAAGCAGTCTTTAACATCCTTAAACATATCGGCTCTGACTCAATGCAGAGAAGTTTGCATTTGGAGTGGGATCTGGTAAGTTTTAGGGATACCTGGTGACTAGAAGGGGCATTGAGGCCAGCCCAAATCAGATTAAGGCCATCCTGGAATTGAAGAGCCCAACGTCGGTAAAACAGGTACAAATGTTGACTGGAAGGGCCACAGCCCTGAATAAGTTCATAAGCAGAAGCTCAGACAAGTGCAAACCTTTCTTTAACTTAGTGAAGAAAGCCATAGATTTTTTATGGATAGAAAAATGTGAGGTCGCCCTGGCCAACTTGAAGAAGTATTTGACCACAGCTCCAGTTCTTTCAAATCCAGAACCTGGGGAGGAGTTGTTTTTGTACTTAGCAGTCTCAGAACACGCAGTAAGCGCAGTGGTAATCCGAGAAGAAAAAGGGGAGCAAAAGGCTGTTTACTATGAAAGCAAAACCCTGGCCGATGCAAAAACAAAGTATCTACCCTTAGAGAAATTAGCACTGGCTTTAGTAATGGCTTCAAAGAAACTAAACCATTACTTCCAGGCCCATAAAATTGTGGTGCTAACTGAACACCCCTTGAAGTCCTTGCTACAACAAGGAGACCTGACAGGAAGAATAGCCAGATGGGCAGTGGCCTTGGGACAGTATGACTTGGAGTACAGACTAAGAACAGCAATCAAAGGCCAAGTTTTGGCCGACTTCGTGGCCGAGTTCACACCAGAATCCATCGTACATCGGGCTCCATTAAGCCGAGGTGAACAATGTCCAAGCAAGCAAGGAGAAGCCCGGCCGAATGCAACAGAACAAAGGAAAAAGGAAAAACTCAGACCCTGCAGCATTTACATCGACAACTCCTTTCGACTGTTTGTTGATGGGAGCTCAAACCGAAGGAGCAGGGGTAGGAGTAGTACTGGTATCTCCAGATAGACAGATAGTGGAATAGTCCATTCGTTTGGGGTTCAAGGCCTCAAACAATGAAGCAGAGTATGAAGCATTGATTACAAGACTGAAGCTGGCAGTAGTAGCTAAAGCAGATGAAGTAATAGTCTTCTGTGACTCCCAGCTCATAGTCAACCAGACAACGGGCGAGTTTGCAGCCCGTGATGAAAAGATGTCGGCCTACGCAAAAGAGGTCAACAGGCTGGTGGCCTTGTTTAAGAATTGCCAACTACATCAGGTTAGCCGAGATGATAACAGTCACGTTGATGCACTGGCCAACCTGGCTAGTACAATACAACCTGGAAAAGTAAGGATGATAATGGTCGACTACTTGTGGGGCCCGAGCATTGAACCACTAACCACAGAGCGTGAAACAATGTGTGGACATGGGACTAAGCTGGATGGATGCAATTATTGCATTCCTGAAAGAAGGAAAGCTGCCAGATAACCACAAGGAGGCACACAAGATCAGATTGAAGTCGGCAAGATTCAATCTGACAGCAGAAGGACATCTTTACAGAAGATTCTTCAATGGACCCCTTTTAAGGTGTGTACATCCCTCATAAGTTCAAGATTTTTTATATGAAATACATGAAGAAGTTTGTGGAAGCCACGCTGAGGGTAGATCACTTGCCCATAGGGCCATTACACAAGGGTATTGGTGGTCCTACATGCAGAGAGATGCAGAAGACTATGTGAAAAAGTGTGAAAAGTGCCAAAGGTTTGCACCTCTGATACACCAACCAGCAGCAGACCTGAACCCAGTATCCAGTCCTTGGCCGTTTGCCCAATGGGGCATGGATCTCATTGGGCAACTTCCCCAAGCAACTGGACAAAGGAAGTACCTGCTGGTAGCAAGAGATTATTTCACCAAGTGGATAGAAGCTGAGCCCCTAGCCAAGATCCGAGATGTGGACGTGAAGAACTTCATATAGAGGAACATCATCACCAGATTTGGGATTCCGAGAGCAATAATTGCTAACAATGGAACACAAAGTAAACTAATCAAGAGCTTTTGTACAAAGTTCAAAATCAAGAATTACTTTTCTACCCCGAGTTTTCCTCAGAGCAATGGACAAGCAGAAGCATCTAACAAAGTCATCTTTGATGGGATTAAGAAGAGGTTGCAAGCAGCAAAGGGAAAATGGGTGGATGAACTGCCAAGTGTACTTTGGACATATCGGACTACGCCGAGAAAATTAACAGGGGAACCCCCCTTTGCCATGGCCTATGGCACAGACGCTGTCATTCCACTGGAGGTCGGCATGCCAGGGATCAGAACCCAGGGAGTAGAGAACGGGACTAATGATGTACTCTTAACCTGAGACCTGGATCCACTAGAAGAAAGAAGGGAGAGAGCTGCAATTCAGCTAGCAGCATACCGCTTGCCAGGGCTTACAATAAAAGGGTTGACCCAAGGGAGTTCCAAGTCGGTGACCTAGTCTTGAGAAAAGTTGTCGACAAAAAGAAGGATCCCAGGGAGGGCAAGCTTGGCCCAAATTGGGAAGGACCCTACAGAATCACTTCGATATTGGGCAATGGGGCATATCGACTTGAAGATAATGAGGGCAAAGAGTTGCCAAGACCCTGGAATACTTGTAATCTGAAATTTTTCTATCATTAGATTTTCCTTGTTTTTTGCCGACGTAATGAATAAAATTTTAGTAGAATTCTTCTACATTTGTGACTGATAAGATATTTGCCGATGTTTCTAAAATACATGCGTAATGAGAACCCAAGTGGAACTTAAGTTCACATTAGGGGGCAGAGAGTTGGAAAGCGGTTCTAACACTTGTTGAAAGTTGAGAATA